CTATCTCTAGTCAACTAAACTGTCAAATGGAAGAAACTCCAGCCCCACAGGACACAAATTCAAAACCAGTTCAGAGGGCTGCCAGCGTCCAAATAGGGGGCAATTTGAGCTTCAAAATAAATAACGACAGCAATAGTTTACAGCCCACTTGACAGATAGAAATTCAGGAATCCACACTGTGGATAAATAGATAAATGAATAAGTGAATAAAGAAGAAGAGAATGCTCTTTCTTAAAGCAGAAAGCAAGACCAAAAGAAAAAAACACACACACAGAAAGAATGATAGAATTGGAAGGCCGTGAACAGCCTGGGAAACACAGAGAGACGCTGTCGCTACAAAAAAATTTTAAAAATTAGCCAGATAGGGTGACACCTGCCTGTAGTCCTGTTCACACAGGAGGCTGAGGTGAGGGGATCACTTGAGGCTAGGAGTTTGACGCTGCAGTGAGCCATGATTGCACCGCTGTACTCCAGCCTGGGTGATGGAATGAGACTCTGTCCTCAAAAAAGAAGGAAGGGAGAGAGAGAAGGAAGGGAGGGAAGAGGGAGGAAGGAAAAGAGAGAGAGAAAGAAGGAAGGAAGGAGGAAATCCAGCCAGCACTTGGCAACCACTGTTGTAATAATGAACTCTGGCAAGAAGTGCCAATGGAGGCAGCTAGTGGGTTCCAAAGGAGTGAGGAATGAGCTTTTACAAAGCCTCCAGGTATCTTCCTGCAAAATATTTGTTAATAACAAGGAAGAGACTCGCCATTGCCTTCCTAGACTCTGCGGTGGTCATGTGCTCTTTGAGCTGTGGCCATCGCACGTTTCCTGGCTTTGGCCCCCTTCCTTCCCTTGGGAAAGTGAATCTCTCTCTCTCTCTCTCTCTCTCTCTCTCTCTCTCTAATTTACGTTCTAAATAAACTATATTTTCTAATCTAACTTCTGTGCAATTCTTGGCATCTTTCTCGTGGCACCGGCTCAAACATCAGGCTGGTATTCTAGCTTCTAGGCTGGCAGAGGAAAAGCCTAAACTCAGACTACCCTATTTCCTTCATAAGTGAGTTCTTTTGGTCTGGTTTTCTATTTATCCTCAGAGGGCAGCAATGTCAGCGGTCTATGACTGGGTGTGCGTCTTTCCTCATCAGTGATTCCCAGAATCCTTCCAATGTGCAGGCTCCAGTCTTTCTTCGGCTCAGTGAAATGTCTCATATCACTTAATTATCACCTCTCCTCAAATGCGTCCTTTTGTCTCCTTCTAGAATGTAGCCTGTTTCATCCTCTACAATATGCAGTTGTTTTTCCCCCCTCTTCACTAGGTCTGACATTGAACTGCATCTTGGAACTGAGGGTGTCTTAAAATCAAGTGGCAACAGTTATCAACGCCACAGACATTGGAGCACCACTAAAATACTCCAAGAGTTTGTGCGAGGCACTGCCTCTTCTGAGCTCCCGTCTCATTTTTCTCTCTGGCTGTTGTGTCCAGTGGAGGCCTCCTTATTTTCGTTGCCTACTCATCAGACCTTGGGGTCCAAATTCTGGCTACCTTAAATGAAAGTATACTCTGCATCAGGCGTCTCCAACCTGCAGGCCACGAGCTACATGCGGTCCAGGACAGCAAACCACACGACCCCACAAAATCTCTTAGCGTCATGTGTTTTTAGCATTTATTTTCTTCGTGACCCCAGGGGTAGCTCCACTCTTGAAGTTCATCATCACGTCTTATTCATGACATCACTTTTTGGCAGCACGTACATCTATCTGTGAGCAGCTGTTCTCAGTGACGAAGCACTTGGAGAGCAGCATTCAAACAAATATTTCTGGCGAGCACCTTGAGAACTCACTAAGAATAGTGACCACTTTCATCAAGCCAGATTCAATAGATTCGTTTTACAAAAACAAGGTCAAATTTCCCACAAGTTTTCTGTTGTTCTCATTTTTTAAAACTTTGTAATAAAAATTTTTTAAAAGTAAAAAATAATAAGTGAGAAAATAACCTTGGAGCAAGGGGACCAGACAGACACTCCAACCTTAATTAAGAGTTCACGTTAGCCGGGCTCAGTGGCTCAGCCTATAATCCTGCGCCTTTGGGAGGCTGAGGTGAGTGGATTGCCTGAGCCCGCGGGTTCGAGACCTGCCTGGGCAACTTGGTGAGACCTCATCTCTACAATAAATAAATTTTTAAAAATTATCGAGGCATGGTAGCGCGCCTGTAGTTCCAGCTACTTGGAAGGCTGAGGCAGAAGGATTGCCGGAGCCCAGCACGTCGAGGCTGCGGAGGCCGGGAGCGGCCACTGCACTCCAGTCTAGGCGACAGAGTGAGACTCCAACTCAAAAAAAAAAAAAAAAAAAGAGTTCACGTTAACACTATGAGCAGCAGGACACACAGAGTTCACACGCCCCTCGATGCCAGGCAGTAAGGAGTTCGGTGTCATTCTGTCTCATCTTAAAATGCATACCAGGGTCTAATCAAGAGATAACAGCAGAAAACCCAATGGAGGGATAGTCTACCAAACAACAGGTGTATAATCCTCGAAAACGCCAAGGTCACAAAAAGACTAAGGACTTGTTCCAGAGTGAAGGGCCTGGAGACCAATTCCGTGGATTATTTGCTGAGAAAACTCGAAAAATTCAAATAAGGTCTCTGGATGAAGAATGTAGATTTCTTTCTACCATTTTGCAACTTCTTGTTAAGCTTGAAACTTGTCAAATTTAAAAAAGAAAATTGTAAATCCAACTACTTTCCTTGTGACCTTGGCCAAGTCATCAAACTTCTTTGAGCTTGTTTTTTTTCTGTGAAAGTGGGAAAATAATTAGGTAATTTTGTTGGGATGATAGCAATGAGACAGTATATACAAAAACACTTCATACTTACTAGGTACTCAATAAATACTAGTTTCCTTTTTCTGTTCAACCTGCTTGCTTATTACTTTGACCTTGAGCTATGAGCCAGGAGGAACAGCATGACATGTTTTGTTTCACAAGACAAGTATCTGTGTCAGAAACATCCCAGAAACTTCTAGCTTGGCACTTTGTTTTGGATGGCCCTATCATCTGTGTGAGAACTGTCATTCCAGAGGGCAGCATTTCCCTAAATTAGGCTTCACGGATATGTTCTTGGAGGTCCAGAGAATTCTCTGGAGTAATTTTTGTGTGTTTCCACTTAAGTTATTATAAAAATGGATATAATCTTATTAGCTGAATCGGATTTCACTGAGTGGCTTCAGTGTCCATGTTTGTAACCGGTAATTTCAAAGCTCATGTTTCCCAGTACCCAGGAGCCAAACAGTCCTGCTTGTATTATTACAGCCTAAGAAGAAGAAGTGGGCCAGATGCAGGGGCTCACGCCTGTCGTTCCAGGGTTTAAGACCAGCCTGGGCCACTGGACGAGATCTCGTCTCTGCAATAAATCAAAAAATTAGCCAGGGGTGGTGGTGCGCGCCTGTGGTTCCAGTTATTTGGAAGGCTGAGGCAGAAGGATGGTCTGAGCCCAGCAGGTCGACGCCGGGGTGGCTGTGAGCGTACCACTGCACTCCAGCCTGGGCGACAGAGTGAGACTCCGACTCAAAAAACAAAAGAAATGAAAAAGAAGTGGGTTCCGTAAGTGAAGTCTGGATCGGCACCACGTGAAGACCACTGCCAGCAAATACTGTACTTTGGTGTGAAAACCAGGAGGATGTCCCTTCCCTCCACCTTTCAACAAATCATCCTGCTATAAACAACAAACGAAATACACTGGTTGATTACATGTGGTTGAAAGGGGAAAGTGTGATGGAAGAGAACAAGCAATGGTTCTGGGCATCAGGTGCTGGGCAGGGCTGGGGGTGTCAGGTTGCAGTGTTCATTATGCCGGACAGAGTCACCCAGGTCCCCTCAGGCCACATTTGAGTGAAGACTGGACAGAAGCGAGGGGCATCTGGAGACACACACCGGAGAGAAGGAGAGACCTCCAGGAAGAGGCTTCCGAAAGAGGAGGCCACTTCACAAGGGCAGGGGCGGGGCCAGTGCGTCTCAGGTACAGCAAGGAGTCCACTGTGGCTGGGGCAGCCAGTGAAGAAGAGGCTGGTTGGAGACAATCATGGGAGAAACAGGCAGGGGCAGCTGGTGTGAGGCCCTGCAGGGCGTCGTAGGGAGCTAGGCTTTTTGGCTCGGGTGAAATGGGGTTTTGAGCAGAAGACCTTGACTTGAGACCCACGTCAGAGTTTCTCTCTGCACGGACTGTAGGAAGCAAAGGCGGGATCAGGAGACCAGTAGAGGCTGCCTCAGTGGTCCAGGTGAGAGGAGGCCATGGCTAGGCCAAGGAGGTCATCGGTGAGGATGTGGACAAGACAGAAGATGCCGGTTCTGTTCTGAAGGTGGACCACATCGCATCTTCTCAGGGATTGGGCAAGGATGAGAGAGGAAGAGGAGACTGTGTGACGACCCCAAGGACGTTGGTCTGAGCGAGTGGAAGAGGGACTTCACCTCTTCCCTGAGGGGCAGAGGCAGCAGGGAAGCCAACTGGAAGCAACATGCAGAGCTGAAGACATCTGTTAGACGTTCAAGAGGAGAGCTGGCCGGAGGTGGGATGGTGGTGTCCTCAGAGAGTACAGCCATGAAGGTGGTCCACAGAGAAGAAAGCCCAGGCTTGAACCCTGGGATTCACCAACTCTGAGAGTCTCAGGGGAGGAGAAGGAAGTCGTCAAAAGGGAATGGGGACACCCAGGGAGGTGGGCGGAGAGCTGTGAGCCAGGGGCCCTGGAAGCCAGACGAAGACAGGAGTTATTGGCTGACTCTGGCAGCTTCGCCTGCCTGGAATTAGGCTCCATACAAAGGGGCCTGGCGGAGGGTACTCGTCCCCACCTGTCCTCCACCTTTCTGCCACGTGAGGATGCGGCGTTCCACCCTCTGGAAAGTGCAGCCCCCACCAGACACCAGAAGCCAGTGCCTTGACATGGCTTCCAGCCTCGAAGCTGCAGAGGTCAACTTCTGTTCTTCATAAATCGCCAGTCCGGCTGTAGGCCTGGGTGGTTGCCGTCGAAATGGACAAGTTCACGAGACCCGGGAAAGTGGTGCTGGTCCTGGCCAGAGGCTATTCTGGACGCAAAACCCTCACGGTGAAGAACGTTGATGATGCCATCTCAGACCTCCCCTCCAGCCATGCTCTGGTGACTGGAATTGACCACTATCCCCGCAAAGTGACAGCTGCCATGGACAAGAAGAAGATTGCCAAGAGGTTAAAGATCAAGTCTTGTAAAAGTTTAAAAGTGCAATCACCTCCTGCCCACAAGGTTCTCTGTGGACTTCCCCTTGGACAAAACTGTTGTCGACAAGGATGTCTTCAGAGGCCCTGCTCTTAAACACAAGGCCCGACGGGAGGCCAAGGCCAAGTTTGAAGAGAGGTGCAAGATGGGCAAGAACAAGTGGGTCTTCCAGAAGCTGTGAGTTTAGATGCTTTTTCTTTTTGCTTGCTTGTTTCAGTCATTAAACATTTTTTAAATAAAAAAATATATATATCGCTGGTTCCAGGTGTGGTGGCACACACGGCCCGAGACGTCACTCACTTGGAACACGATGACACGTCCACCGCCTTGCCCTGCTGCCTCGCGGGTCCCTCCCCATAGGGACATCCTCCCCACCCCAGCCTGTTGGGCTTGGATGTACTTGCGGGGATGGGTTGGAGGAAAGCAGGGCTGGATGGGGCCTGGCCTGGCTGGGATGCACTTTGCATTCCTGGCAGTTCCCCCGAGAACAGCTCCGGACGGCCCTGGCTGGACCAGAGGAGCACGAAGGCCTCTGGGGCACAACTGGCCCCATCGGCAGCCTGAGCGTCTGCCCGCAGGACACACAGCCTGGGTGTTAGAAGAAATGCTGTTCACGTTAGCCACAGCAGTAGCGAGCTACTGGCTTGCTAAGACGTACATACCAGGGGCGTCTCGCCCAAGATCACTGCAGCTGCAGCTAACTTCACGGTCTCTCGAGTCCTGAGGGCACTGAGCCCACCCGAGGAGAAGGGGGTCGCCCTGCCCGTGAGAACTGCCTTCATCTGGTTTAGGTCAAAGTAACATTCTTGCACCTGCAGGATGCTTTGCCTTCCAGTGTGTGTGTGCCTGTGTTTGAGTATGTGCTTGTGTGTATGCGTGTTTATATGCATGTATGTGTGCCTGTGTTTAAGAGTGTGCGTTTCTTTCTTTTTTTTTTTTTTTTTGAGTTGGAGTCTCACTCTGTTGCCCAGGCTGGAGTGAAGTGGCACACTCAGCCACCCCAGCGTCGACCTGCTGAGCTCCGGTGAAACTTCCACCTTAGCCTTTCAAGTAGCCGGAACCACAGGCGCATGCCACCATGACCCGCTAATTTTTTGTTTATTGTACAAACGAGGTCTCGCCAAGTCTCAAACCTGCAGGCTCAGGCAATCCATTCGCCTCAGCCTCCCAAAGTGCTGGAATGACAGGCTGAGCCGTGGAGCCCAGCCATGAGTGTGTGTTTCTATGTTTATGTGTGGGTATGTATACCTGTGTGCCTATGTTTGTGAGCATGTGTGCATGTGCGTGTGTGTGTGTGTGTGTGTGTGTGTGTGTGTGTGTGTGTGTGTGTGTGACTGTCTCTTGGCCGAGGTTCTTGGCCAGGCTCTGGACCCACCAGATAAGATGAGCTTGCTGGAGCTCAGAAAATGAGGCCCTGTGCAGTGTGGGCATCTGTCCCTCCAAATCGCCTGTTGAACTGTGGTCTCTGGTGCTGCAGGTGGGCCCTGGGGGGAGGTGCTTGTGTCAAGGGGGCAGATCCCATATGGATGTCCCGGTCCCCTCCCCATAGTAATGAGTGAGTTCTCACTCATTTCGCTCACACGAGGGCTGGTGTTTAAAGAAAGCTGCTTCGGGAGGCCAAGACAAGTGGATTGCCTGAGCCCGCGAGTTCGGGACCAACCTGGCAACTTAGTGGACCTCGTCTCTACAATAAATCAAAAATTAGCCGGGCGTGGTAGCACATGTCTGTTGTTCCGGCTACTTGGAAGGCTGAGGCAAAAGGATTGCAAGAGCCCAGCAGATCAACGCTGGGTGGCCGTGAGTGTGTCACTGCACTCCAGCCTGGGCGACAGAATGAGACCCCAACTCAGAAAAAAAAAATAGGAGACTGGCAGCCCCCCTTACCACATGACACGCCTGCTCCCTTCACCTCTCACCAGGAGTGAAAGCCTCCTAAGCCAAGCCCGCACCATGTAGAACTGTGAGCCAAGTGAGCTTCATTTCTTTATAAACTACCCAGTTCTGGTGCTGCTTATAACAATGCAGATGGCAATACTCCAAAACGAAGACCTCAAAAGCAGCTCTGGGCGACCTCCCCTGCCCTCCTGTCTCCAGCCTCTCCTTCTCCCCCGAGGCTAGCCTTAAAAACCAGAACCCTTTTCCCCAAAGCCAGCCCCCAAGCCTTAAAATTTTGCTGACTTTCCCCCAGCTTTCAGTGTGAAAATCGGCCATAAGAAACTTTCGGCCAGCGTGGTGGCTCACACCTATAATCTCAGCAATTTGGGAGGCTGAGACGGGAGGATCACTTGAGCCCAGGAGTTTGAGACCAGCCTGAGCAACTTAGTGAGACCTCATCTCTACAATTAAAAAAAAAAAAATTGCTGGGCTCGGTGGCTCAGCCTATGATCCCGCACCTTGGGAGGCTGAGGTGAGTGGATTGCCTGAGTCCGCGGGTTCGAGACCCCCCTGGGCAGGCGAGACCTCATCTCTACAATAAATTAAAAAATCAGCCGGGCATGGTAGTGCATGCCTGTAATTCTGGCTACTCGGAAGACTGAGGCAGAAGAATCGTCGGAGCCTAGTAGGTTGAGGCTGCAGTGGTTAAGAGCGGCCACTGCACTCCAGTCTGGGCGACAGAGTGAGACTCCAACTCAAAAAAAAAAAAAAAATTAGTGAGGTGTGGTGGCACTCCCCTGTAGTCCCAGCTACTCAGGAGGCTGTGGCAGAAGGATCACTTGAGCCCAGGTGGTCGAGGCTGCAGTGAGCCGTGATCAGGCCTCTGCCGTCCAGCCTGGGCAACACAGTGAGACCCCGACTCAAAAAAGACAGAGAGAGAGAAACAAAGAAATTTTCTGAGTTATCCTGTTTGACTGTAGGTCACGAGACCTCATTCCAAGGGCCCAGCCCCACACCAGAAGGACCCAGAGAAGCCAAGAAGAGTGTAGACAGGCAGCCTGCTGGGTTCCCCTTGGTCTGTTAGCATTGCAGCCCACACTCCGTGTCCAGTCCTATTTCTACACACATCCTGTGTTGAATCCAAGCACGAACACGGACCAGACCGTGTGCCCTGCCTCTTGGGGTCATCACGCAGAAGGTTCCCGTGTCCTCTGCTCCCACTCACCTTCCCTTTGCAGGTGGTCTTCAGGGAACCTTCAGAGGATGGGGGGGAGTTTTCCCTCGGCCCCTACAGCCTCCAAGGGCCCTTCCAACTCTGGACACCCATGACTCAGTATCCCTGGCTCATGCTGCTTGTTGAGTGCCTCACACGTGGCTCCCTTCTGGCAGCTTCTGCTTCCCGTGGGGTGAAGGTCGCTCTCGGAACTCTGCTTTGGTGTCCTTGTTCCCGAGGTCCTTTGCAGCCAGAAAATGTGAGCGGGAGAAGGGAGGGGCATGGAGACCGAGTGGGAAGTGGCATGAGTGGCCCCACATGGGGGAGGAGCCGTTGGGATAGCTGGTGACAGAGGACGCCAGCCTCCAACTTGGACGCACAGGTCAAATGGCTGCTTGCAACGGACGGGGTGGGGTCTGGAGATAGAACACGCTGACAGCACAGATGTGGAGACAAGTTTCCACCCTCGTCATACTGGGTAGAGGATCATCCTTGGCAGGCACTTAACAGATCGGCCATTTAAGAAGAGAACACGGGATACGGGAAGAAATGAACCCAGGGGAATATCCGAGAGCCGCGTCATCGTGGGTGTGCCACTGACTTCCTGGAGGTCCTGGACGGGCTGGCCTTGAATGTGAGGAAGTAAGGGGACACTGGTAGAATAATGTGTGTTCTCTCACTATGTTGCCCAGGCTGGTCTTAAACTGCTGGGCTCAAGCAATCCTCTTGCCTCGGCCTCCCAAAGTGCTGGGATTCCAGGCGTGAGCCACTGCGCCCGTCTCCCCTTTTATCTGCAGAGATTAAGAGCTTCTTCTTTGGTGACGTCCTTCTCGTTCTCTCCTGAAGGCTGATCCATCTCTACTTGATTCTTAGGGATCCAAATCTCCTCCTGCTCCAGAAAAGCTGAGTCGATCAAGGTTTGACGGACCACAGGCTGTCTTCCTGTCTAATTTCCGTAGATGTGGGGAAAGGGTCCTGTGAGTACCCCACTGACTTTTCTGCATTATCTTGAGCCCCTGTTCTTTCCTGGGACCCATCGATTCTGTTCACGTGTTGTGTGCGTGAGTGTGTTTGCTTGGGTACGCATATGTTAGAAATGATCATATAGTTTTAAAGCACAAAACAATTTTTTTCAAAAATACTAAGTCACTCTGGGAAGCCACACGCTTCTTCCAGTTTTGAGGCAATCATTCATCAAGAAGGTTTGCAAGGCTGGCTACACCCACAGGAATATGGTCATTTGACAGTAGAATCTATGGAAGGCTCATTGATCTCATTTAAATAACTATATCAGTTCAATAAATCCATTTCAGCTCAAGAAAATTATGGTACAGACATATAATGGAAAGTATGTCCACTTCTGAAGCTGCTAAAAGAATTATTTAGCTCACCTCCAAGATACATGATTAAGTGGAAAAGAACACAAACTGCAGTGTGTTTTCTAAACTGTCGTTTGTGAGAGGAGGAAAAAATATATAAGCCGGGTGTGGTGACTCACGCCTGTCATCCCAGCACTTTGGGAGGCTGAAGCAGGAGGATCATTTGAGGCCAGGAGTTTGAGACCGGCCTAGGAAACACGGCGAGACCTTGTCTCTACAAAAAATCAAAAACTTAACTGAGCTTCGTGGTGCGTGTCTGTAGTCCCAGCTACTCAGGAGACTGAGGCGGGAGGATTGCCTGAGCCCAAGAGGACAAGTCTGCAGTGAGCAGTGATCGTGCTACTGCACTCCAGCCTGGAGAGACTGTGACTCAAAAAAAAAAAAAAAAAAGGAGAGAAAAGAGAAGAAAAAAGAAAATATATGCATGCTTATAGAAGCCCAACATGTTTCTGAAAGGCCACGCAAGAAACTGTAACCGTGGTTACCTGTGGGAGAGAGAGTGGCCGGGATAACACATAGGGGAAGAGAGTTCTACCAGTGACTGTGCATGTATACAGAGGATGCCCCCAAATGGGTACACATTTAAGAAAGGAAAAACAGTATTAAAGTTGTAGCACTCAATACAATGAATTCAAGTCACGTTTGACTAACACAATTCCAGGAGGTGCTCAAAGTGGTGACCATAAGTGTCCTGACACTTCTGATTTCCGCGAATATCTCT